TGGGAGACAGTTGCCTCAGTCGAGTCAACGTTATTATTTTATCACAGTCTTGCTTTCAAGTGCTCTGAGTTTCATGTACCAAGTTTTTGCCAAGCTTAAGTTTTGCCTATGGGATTTTCCTGCTGTTTTGTTTGATGGTTTCAAGCTGCCTTGTTTTGTGGATTTCTATGTACAAATGGACCTGGTTTCCCTTTGAAGTTTATGGATTATCCCGGATTCGAACCTGCGACCTTTCGGTCAGCGAGTTCAGCAGCTCAGCTCTTTAACCCACTGCGCCACCAGGGGCTCCAGAGAGCAGGGACAGGAAGGTGGAAACCAGCAATTAATACTGGTTCTTAGATGTTGAATCAAAGCAGTTCCTTCCCTGTCCCCAACGTTCTCCTTCCTGTGATGTTCTCCATCCAGAATCCAGGCTTGGCTTCAAGGAGAGGAAATTCGCCCACAACACAGTCCTCCCCAGGTCTAAATAGGACTCTAGAAGAAGCAAACTTTCCCTTCTCGCCGACTTACTCACCTCCCACGGGGTCTTCTGTGCATCTGGTTTCTTCTTGTCATCTTTGCCATCAGTTGGAGCAGAGGGCATCCCCGCCTTTCCCTCCTCGGTGGCTTTCTGCCCTTCTTTGGGGTCTTGGCTGCTTCCCGGCTCCTTCTTCTCCTCTTTCTTCTCATCAGAAGGTTTGGGAGCATCTCGCTTTTGCACTCCGGGCTGCGGCTGAAACATCAACATTGACATGTTTCAGGTCTCTTCTACCTTTGGTTCTTTCAACAGCGATGCAACCTAAAAGCTAGACTGCAGGCATGGCCTAACTTTGGCCCTCCAGATGTTTTGGACTTCAACTCCTACAATTCCTAACAGCCGGTAGGCTGTTAGGAATTGTGGGAGTTGAAGTCCAAAACACAGTATGTGAGTATCACACTGCATTACAAAACTGCATCCTATGATAGTGTAGATGGGGCCAAAGTAAGCCCTGCGACATCTACCCATCCTGACCTGCTGATGGCCCCATCTTTTCCATTTATTTATTTTATTTATGTACGACATTTATATGCCACCCTTCTCACCCCGAAGGGGACTTAGAGCAGCTTACAAGATATATATACATATGATATATTATATTATTAGCATAGCACAATATCAGTATTATATATTACTACACTAGCCATCCCCTGCCATTGCTGTGGCCCACTCTGGTGGTCATGGGGGTTCTGTGTGGGAGGTTTGGCCCAATTCTATCGTTGGTGGGGTTCAGAATGCTCTGTGATTGTAGATGAACTACAAATCCCAGCAACTACAATTCCCAAATGTCAAGATTCTATTTTCCCCAAACTCCACCAGTGTTCACATTTGGGCATATTGAGTATTCGTGTAGAGTTTGGTCCAGATCCATCATTGTTTGAGTCCACAGTGATCTCTGGATGTAGGTGAACTACAACTCCAAAACCAAAGGACACTGCCCACCAAACCCTTCCAGTATTTTCTGTTGGTCATGGGAGAACTGTGTGCCAAGTTTGGTTCAATTCCATCGTTGGTGGGGTTCAGAATGCTCTTTGATTGTAAGTGTACTATAAATCCCAGCAACTACAACTCCCAAATGACAAAATCAATTCTTTTGAGTGGAGGACATACATTGGGTTGTTAGGTGTCTTGTGTCCAAATTTGGTGTCAATTCGTCCAGTGGTTTTTGAGTTATGTCAATCCCACAAACGAACATTACATTTTTATTTATATAGATTGAACTATACCATTGTACTGTAATATTATTAGTGATATTACATATAATACAAAATATATAATTATAATATCATATTATTATTAGTAGCATTATATTGTATTACATTATAATATTATATTATAATATAATATTATAAATATTATAGATATACACACACACACACAAAATATTATATATTATATTATATTATATTATATTATATTATATTATATTATATTATTAGCATAACAGGAGACAAGACATTTATCCAGCCAGTCCCCTTAAAAAGCTACTCACCATAATTAAACCCATGGGCAAAGCTGAACTACAATTCCTCCCCCCAGTACTTCTCAGTATCTCAACTCACCAAACTGGGAGCGGGAGGTTGTCCTGGCAAAGGCCGCAGCTTCCGGGGCTTTGGGGGTTCTTGGAAGTGCAGCTAAATAGAAGAATACGAGAAGACAAAAATCATTATTGTTAGTACAGTATTAGCATTTATATCCCGCTGCAACGTTTGCCCTGCGTTGCTTTCTTCCAGCCAACCAACCAACTCTTTGCTTGTGTTGTTAGACCGAGGTCATCAGCATATGTAAAGTTCTTTGTAAGTGGTGGTTGTGGTTGATGGTTAGTAAAAAATGTTAAACAAAGTGAGAGGAGACATGATAGCCATGTGTCAATAATATAATGGAATATAATATACTAGCCATCCCCTGCCATGCATTGCTGTGGCCCAGTCTTGTATATCTGTTTTGTGTGTGTGTGTGTATATATATATATATATATATATGTAAGTTTGCAAATGTGTTGTAATGTATTATTTATTTTTTCGCTTTTTAAGTCTCTTCTCTTGTGTTTTTCAGTGTTTTTGAGTGATGGTCACTCGTTGGCTTGATATATGTATTGTGTCCAAATTTGGTGTCAATTCATCCAGTGGTTTTTGAGCTATGTTAATCCCACAAATGAACATTACATTTTTATTTATATAGACTAGCCATCCCCTGCCACGCATCACGGTGGCCCAGTCTGTGTATATGTGCTTGTGTAGGTTAAAGGTTGAAAGGTTGTCCCCTGACATTAAGTCCAGTCATGTCTGACTCTGGGGTGTGGTGCTCATCTCCATTTCTAGCCCAAAGAGCCGGAGTTGTCCATAGACACCTTCAAGGTCATGTGGCTGGCATGACTGCATGGAGCGCCGTTACCTTCCCGCCGGAGCAGTACCTATTGATCTACTCACATTTGCATGTTTTCAAACTGCTAGGTTGGCAGAAGCTAGGGCAGACAGCAGAAACTCACGCTGCTCCTCAAAATTGAACATGCGACCTTTCAGTCAACAAGCTCAGCTGCTCAGCGCTTTAACCCACTGCGCCACCGGGGGCTCCATGTATATGTGTGTATATATTTGTGTATATACATGTGTTTGCATATGCATTGTAATGTACTTTTTCATTTTTGGGCTTTTTAAGTCTCTTCTGTTGTGTTTTTCAGTGCTTTTGAGTGATGGTCACTCGTTGGCCTGAGAGGTGTATTGTGTCCAAATTCGGTGTCAATTCATCCAGTGTTTTTTGAGTTATGTTACTCACACAAACGAACATTACATTTTTATTTATATAATTTGTATATACATATAATATTTATAATATTATAACGTAACGCAATAAAATACTAGTAATTATTTTAATAATTATATATTCATATTACATGTAATATTACTAATAATATTACAATATAATGGTATAGTAGGACTAGGACTTTGAGATCTTCTGGGGAGGCCCTGCTCTCGATCCCGCCTGCAACACAGGCACGGCTGGCGGGGACGAGAGACAGGACCTTCTTGGTGGTGGCCCCTCGGCTGTGGAACGCCCTTCCCACGGACATTAGATCGGCTCCCTCATTGATGGTATTTCGGAGAAAAGTGAAAACCTGGTTATTTGAACAGCCGTTTGAATAGGCAGTGCAATGAATTTTAGGAAATGGAACTACGGATGACGAGTTTGGATCATGATTCTAGTTATGAGACGCCAATGAATGAATGTTTATTGTTGTTTAATTGCTTAGTCTGCTATTGTGTTAATTGTTTTTAAATACCTTGTTATGCTGCATTGAATTTTTGCTATTATTGTTGTTAACCGCTATGAGTCGCCTAAGGGCTGAGAATATACAAGTGAAGTAAATAAATAAATAAATAGTACAATATAGTAATATTTAACGGTTCTGGTCCAACTTACCTGTCCGAACGCATCTCCTCCTATGAACCAGCTAGGGGGTTAAGATCGTCTGGGGAGGCCCTGCTCTCGGTCCTGCCTGCGTCACAAGTACGTTTGGCGAGGACGAGAGACAGGGCCTTCTCAGTGGTGGCCCCTCGGCTGTGGAATGCCCTTACTACAGATATTAGATCGGCCCCCTCCCTGTTGGCATTTCGGAGGAAAGTGAAAACCTGGTTGTTTGAGCAGGCATTGGAATAGGCAGTGTAACGAACATAGGAACATGGAACAAATGGACGATGAGACTGGATCTTGATTTTAACTATGAGACGCTAATGAGATGTTTTATTGATTTATATTGACTGTTTATTATGCTACTGTTTTATTATGTTTTTGAGCATTGAATTTTGCTATTGTTAACTGCTCTGAGTCGCCCCAGGGCTGAGAAGAGCGGTATACAAATATAGTAAATAAATAGTAAATAAATAAATTAATGCTGATATTGTACTATGCTAATAATGTAATATATTGTCTATCTATCTATCTATCTATCTATCTATCTCCTGGCTACCACTGACACCTGAAGCTCTATTTCAGTGGTTCTCAACCTGGGGTCCCCAGATGTTTTTGGCCTTCAACTCCCAGAAATCCTAACAACTAGTAAACTTGGCTGGGATTTCTGGGAGTTGTAGGCCCAAAAACATCTGGGGACCCCAGGTTGAGAACCACTGTTCTAAATTTTTACATTACATGTAATATTACTAATAATATTACTATATAATGGTATAGTACAATATAGTAATATTTAATACTGATATTGTACTATGCTAATAATATAATATATTATATGTATATGTATCTTGTAAGCTCCTCTGAGTCCCCTTCAGGGTGAGAAGGGTGGCATATAAATGTGATAAACAAAATAAATAAATATGTGAGGGGAAGTCATAGAGAGGAGGGAGCAGGCTTGTTTTCTGCCACCCTGGAGATTAGGACGCAATGGAATAATGGCTTCAGACTACAGGAAATAAAGGCGATTCCACCTGAACACAAGGAAGAACTTCCTGGCTGTGAGAGCTGTTCAGCAGTGGAACTCTCTGCCCTGAAGTGTTTCGTTCTTCCCGAAATGCATAAAACATCAATGAAAGATGGTCTCTTCCATAGGCTGTATGGAGTCAAACTCCCGTAGGTCCGACCGCTTGTTTGTGAACATTTCCTTCCTTCTATCTCTATCCAAAAGCTCCCGGAAAGGAATCCCTATTTCTCTCCTTTTAAAATGTTTGGATGTTTAGGGTTTCGTACCTCATGGAGGCGCCCACACCGAATCTGGACGCTCTGCAAAACGTATTGTCCATCCCCGGCCGTGCTGGCTGCCTCGTCGTAATTCCTCAGGTAGGAAATGGCTTCGTTTTCCTGCGGAGGGAGAAGACGACAACACACTCAAACGATTGCGTAATATCAATTTCCTAGTTAGAAATCGCAGCAGTATCACACGAGGGAGATTCCACCTGAACATTAGGAAGAACTTTCTGTGAGAGCTGTTCAGCAGTGGAACTCTCTGCCTCTGAGTGCAGTGGAGGCTGGATGGCCATCTGTCGGGGGTGATTTGATTATGCTTTTCCTGAATGAAGGCACCATTCACAGGGCCTCCCAAATATAGCCATGCATGGGGTGGGGATGGGAAATTGTGGCTAAATGAACCTTTATTTACAAAATATTCATTATTAAAATTTGCAAATTATTTACAAAATATTCTCTACATGTTGCTTATCTGAAAGTACAAAAAGCATTATAACATATGTGTGTGCGTGTGCACATACACACACACACACACAGAATTGAATAAATAAATAAGAATATGAGTTTGTTTATTTTCCCTAAGTACAGAGACTTTTGGGAAACCCCAAATATATATATCTTCAGATATGAAAGTTTGTCCATTTGTAGCACAAAGGCTGTTGCTAGGTGAAGTGGCCCTTTGTGATGTCACTTGATTTACATTGATAGGTGAAGTGGCCCACTGTGGTTTCACTCGTATAGGTAGGTGAGATACGTATGAGGGAAAGGGAGGAAAGAATGAAAGGGAAGGAAAAAAGGAAAGAAAGAGAAAAAGGGAAAGAAAAGAAGGGAGAGAGTGAAGGAAGAAAAAGGAGGGTGTCACTTGATTTACATTGATAGGTGAAGTGGCCCACTGTGGTTTCACTCAGATAGGTAGGTGAGATACGTATGAGGGAAAGGGAGGAAAGAACAAAAGAAAGAGAGGGGAGGAAAAAAGGAAAGAAAGAGAAAAAGAAGGGAAAGAAAAGAAGGGAGAGAGTGAAGGAAGAAAAAGGAGAGTGTCCCTTGATTTAGATTGATAGGTGAAGTGGCCCACTGTGGTTTCACTCGGATAGGTGAGATACGATGAGGGAAAGGGAGGAAAGAATAAAAGAAAGAGAGGGGAGGGAAAAAGGGAAGAAAGAGAAAAAGAAGGGAGGGAGTGAAGGAAGAAAAAGGAGGGTGTCACTTGATTTACATTGATAGGTGAAGTGGCCCACTGTGGTTTCACTCTGATAGGTAGGTGAGATACGTATGAGGGAAAGAGAGGAAAGAACAAAAGAAAGAGAGGGGAGGAAAAAAGGAAAGAGAAAAAGAAGGGAAAGAAAAGAAGGGAGAGAGTGAAGGAAGAAAAAGGAGGGTGTCACTTGATTTACATTGATAGGTGAAGTGGCCCACTGTGGTTTCACTCAGATAGGTAGGTGAGATACGTATGAGGGAAAGGGAGGAAAGAACAAAAGAAAGAGAGGGGAGGAAAAAAGGAAAGAAAGAGAAAAAGAAGGGAAAGAAAAGAAGGGAGAGAGTGAAGGAAGAAAAAGGAGGTGTCCCTTGATTTACATTGATAGGTGAAGTGGCCCACTGTGGTTTCACTCGGATAGGTGAGATACGTATGAGGGAAAGGGAGGAAAGAATAAAAGAAAGAGAGGGGAGGAAAAAAGGAAAGAAAGAGAAAAAGAAGGGAAAGAAAAGAAGGGAGAGAGTGAAGGAAGAAAAAGGAGGGTGTCACTTGATTTACATTGATAGGTGAAGTGGCCCACTGTGGTTTCACTTGGATAGGTAGGTGAGATGCGTATGAGGGAAAGGGAGGAAAGAATAAAAGAGAGGGAGGGAAAAAAGGAAAGAAAGAGAAAAGAAGGGAAAGAAAAGAACGGAGAGAATGAAGGAAGAAAAAGGAGGGTGTCCCTTGATTTACATTGATAGGTGAAGTGGCCCACTGTGGTTTCACTTGGATAGGTAGGTGAGATGTGTATGAGGGAAAGGGAGGAAAGAATAAAAGAGAGGGAGGGAAAAAAGGAAAGAAAGAGAAAAAGAAGGGAAAGAAAAGAAGGGAGAGAGTGAAGGAAGAAAAAGGAGGGTGTCACTTGATTTACATTGATAGGTGAAGTGGCCCACTGTGGTTTCACTTGGATAGGTAGGTGAGATGCATATGAGGGAAAGGGAGGAAAGAATAAAAGAGAGGGAGGGAAAAAAGGAAAGAAAGAGAAAAGAAGAAAGAAAAGAAGGGAGAGAGTGAAGGAAGACAAAGGAGGGTGTCACTTGATTTACATTGATAGGTGAAGTGACCCACTGTGGTTTCACTTGGATAGGTAGGTGAGAAAAGTATGAGGGAAAGGGAGGAAAGAACAAAAGAAAGAGAGGGGAGGAAAAAAGGAAAGAAAGAGAAAAAGAAGAGAGAGAAAAGAAGGGAGAGAATGAAGGGGGAAAAAAAGAGGGTGTCACTTGATTTACATTGATAGGTGAAGTGGCCCACTATGGTTTCACTCTGATAGGTAGGTGAGATATGTATGAGGGAAAGAGAGGAAAGAACAAAAGAAAGAGAGGGGAGGAAAAAAGGAAAAGAGAAAAAGAGGAGAAAGAAAAGAAGGGAGTGAAGGAAGAATAAGGAGGGTGTCCCTTGATTTACATTGATAGGTGAAGTGGCCCACTGTGGTTTCACTTGGATAGGTAGGTGAGATACGTATGAGGGAAAGGGAGGAAAGAATAAAAGAGGGGAGGAAAAAAGGAAAGAAAGAGAAAAAGAAGGGAAAGAAAAGAAGGGAGAGAGTGAAGGAAGACAAAGGAGGGTGTCACTTGATTTACATTGATAGGTGAAGTGGCCCACTGTGGTTTCACTCGGATAGGTAGGTGAGAAAAGAACAAAAGAAAGAGAGGGAAAGAAAAAAGGAAAGAAAGAGAAAAAAGAAAAGGGGGGAAAGAAAAGAAAGGAAAGAAGAGGAGAGGAGAAAGGAAAGAAAACATGGGGACTGCCTGAAATAACAACAATAACAATAATAATAACAATATATTGTAATGTCTTCTCTTTCATATGTATATGAAACTGTTTACAATAATATCTATGACAAAGATTAGTTTTGTATTGCGCATCCTCACATTGATGTAGACCTCGTTGTGGCATCGCGAACTGCGCAGGTACCCTGTGATGTTGAGGATTTCGGAGTTGTTGTTGCAGCGTTCGTGCAGAACTGCCAAGGGAAAAACAGCCAAGTCAAGGGGAAGCCGGACAGGGACCTACAAATCTGGAGTTTGACGCAAGACTCACATTTGAGGATGATCCAAGTGCCGCTGAACATGGTCTTGGAGAAGATGAAGACATTCTCTGTCCGGTTCTGGAGAGAAAACAAACAAACAAATGCAACCTGATGGACAAGGAAGGGTTTGTGGGAAGGTAAACACACGGTTTTTGGGCCACGTCTTCCCCAAACAAGCCAGCTTTTTAGCCCCAACTCACAAGGCAAGCAAACATCTAGTCCTTGCAGTGGAAAATTTCAAGGCTGAGAAAGCGTTGATGGCAAAGTTTCCCAACAGACAAGAGCAAACACTCAGAAGTTTCCAAGTTCAGATCGTGGGTCAGATAAGAACTCGCCGGTCAGCCTTTTGCAAACAGTTCTTCCAAATGTCTCACGTGTTTGCAAGAAACGGCACACCATGGTCTCCCTCCCGTGCAATACTACAACATCTACAATACTACTAATAATATAATATATTGTATATACATATAATATTTTGGCCTGCATCAATAGGAGCATAGTGCCTAGATCTAGGGAAGTCATGCTCCGCATGCTCTATTCTGCTTTGGTTAGACCACACCTGGAATATTGTGTCCAATTCTGGGCACCACAATTCAAGAGAGATATTGACAAGCTGGAATGTGTCCAGAGGAGGGCGACTAAAATGATCAAGGGTCTGGAGAACAAGCCCTATGAGGAGCGGCTTAAAGAGCTGGGCATGTTTAGCTTGAAGAAGAGAAGGCTGAGAGGAGATGATAGCCATGTATAAATATGTGAGAGGAAGCCACAGGGAGGAGGGAGCAAGCTTGTTTTCTGCTTCCCTGGAGACTAGGACGCGGAACAATGGCTTCAAACTACAAGAGAGAAGATTCCATCTGAACATGAGGAAGAACTTCCTGACTGTGAGAGCCGTTCAGCAGTGGAACTCTCTGCCCTGGAGTGTGGTGGAGGCAGGGGCGGCTCGTCCATTACGCGAAGTAAGCGGTCGCAGAACACTTTTTTTTGCCAGGGGCGCAGAGGCACCTCTGTAAATGCCCCTCGACCGCCACTTGAGGAGTGCCCCCTCAGCTCACAACAGCCCTAGCAGTCCGGGGGGAGCCTTCGGCTTTCTTGCCTCGCTGCCGGCTGATCCTCTTCTCGAAGGGGCCGGGCCCTTGAGCCTCGCCTAGCCCTTGACATATGCGAGTTGTAGTTACTGGGATGTATAGTTCACCTACAATCAAAGAGCATCCTGAACTCCACCAATGATGGAATTGAACCAAATATGGCACACAGAACTCCCACGACGAACAGAAAATATATATCAGTGATTGGTTGGGGGGGGGGGACAAAATACTGTTTGCTTACCGTTGAAAATTACCTAGGCCGCCTCTGGGTGGGGGCTCCTTCTTTGGAAGCTTTTAAACAGAGGCTGGATGGCCATCTGTCAGGGGTGATTTGAATGCAATATTCCTGCTTCTTGGCAGAAAGGGGTTGGACTGGATGGCCCAGGAGGTCTCTTCCAAGTCTTTGATTCTATGATTTTAATATTTATAATATTATAATGTAATACAATATAATACTAGTAATAATAATACAATATTAAAGTTATTATATATTTATATTACATGTAATATTACTAATAATATTACAATACTAGCTGTCCCCTGCCACGTGTTGCTGTGGCCCACATGGGGGTTCTGTGTGGGAGGTTTGACTCAATTCTATCATTGGTGGGGTTCAGGATGCTCTGTGATTGTAGGTGAACTACAAATCCAAGCAACTACAACTCCCAAATGACAAGATTCTATTTCCCCCCAAACTCCACCAGTGTTCACATTTGGGCATATTGAGTATTCTTGCAGAGTTTGGTCCAGATCCATCATTGTTTGAGTCCACAGTGATTTCTGGATGTAGGTGAACTACAACTCCAAAACCAAAGGACACTGCCCACAAAATCCTTTCCGTATTTTCTGTTGGTCATGGGAGGTCCATGTGCCAAGTTTGGTTCAATTCCATCGTTGGTGGGGTTCAGAATGTTCTTTGATTGTAGGTGAACTATAAATCCCATCAACTACAACTCCCAAATTACAAAATCAATTTTTTTGAGTGAAGGACATAGATTGGGTTGTTAGGTGTCTTGTGTCCAAATTTATATTGATTTATCCAGTGGTTTTTTGAGTTCTGTTAATCCCACAAATGAACATTACATTTTTATTTATATAGATATATTGTGATAATAATAGTAGTAATAATAATATTTTTGCACTGCTATCAGAAGGACAACAGGGAGGAAAGAGTGAATGGAGTACCACTGATGAAGTCCGCGCTGAAAGAAAATCAAAACACTGCTCCAGTCTTTATTTTCCATTTCATGCCGGTACAAATGTACACAGCGCTCTCTTTGAAAGCTGAATTACAGGACAAGGAAGAGAATTATTATTGTAATTCCCGTTGGAAGACAAAACTCTGCAAATAGAACAAAAATAAAGGCCGCCTGCAGTACCACAATCGGCCTCGATGACTGCCTCCTCTTAAAGCAGTGTTTCTCAACCTGGGGGTCGGGACCCCCATGGGGGTCGCGAGGGAGTGTCAGAGGGGTCACCAAAGACCATCAGAAAACATAGTATTTTCTGTTGGTCATGGGGGTTCTATGTGGGAAGTTTGGCCCAATTTTATCGTTGGTGGGGTTCAGAATGCTATTTCATTGTGGGTGAACTATAAATCCCAACAACTACAACTCCCAAATGGCAAGGTCTATTTTCTCCAAACTCTACCAGTGTTCACATTTGGCCATATTGAGTATTTGTGCCAAGTTTGGTCCAGATCCATCATTGCTTGAGTCCACAGTGTTCTCTGGATGTAGGTGAACTACAACTCCAAAAACTCAAGGTCCACCAGACCTTCCAGTATTTTCTGTTGGTCATGGGAGTTCTGTGTGCCAAGTCTGGTTCAATTCCATCGTTGGTGGAATTCAGAATGCTCTTTGATTTTAGGTGAACTATAAATCCCAGCAACTACAACTCCCAAATGACAAAATCTATTTTCCCATTCCAGTGTTCATATTTGGGCATATTGAGTATTTGTGCCATGTTTTGTCCAGATCCATCATTGCTTGAGTCCACAGTGTTCTCTGGATGTAGGTGAACTACAACTCCAAAAACTCAAGGTCAATGTCCACCAGACCTTCCCAGTATTTTCTCTTGGTCATGGGAATTCTGTGTGCCATGTTTGATTCAATTCCATCATTGATGGAGTTCAGAAGGCTCTTTGATTTTAGGTGAACTATAAATCCCAGCAACTCCAGCATTACCAAATGACAAAATCAATCACCCCCAACCTCACCAGTATTCAAATTTGGGAGTATTGGGTATTTGTGCCAAATTTGGTCCAGTGAATGAAAATACATCCTGCATATCAGATATTTACATTACGATTCATAACAGTAGCAAAATTACAGTTATGAAGTAGCAAGAAAATAATTTTATGGTTGGGGGTCCCACAACATGAGGACCTGTACTAAGGGGTCGCGGCATTAGGAAGGTTGAGAACCACTGTCTTAAAGGCTTTCTAGTCCTTGCCCTCAACAAATTGCACAGGAGAGGATCTCGCTTTGGCTCTTTGTTTACTTTCCCTGCAGCCGCGTTTCCATTGGTCTTAGTCTCCTTGAGGCCCATCCTCTCCTCTGCCTTGAGGTTTTATATCCCCAATCTTTCCTTTCCCATTCAGAAGGCCCTCCTTGGTTGGCATCCCCAACAAAAAGGACTCAAATTAAATGCCTATGCACAGAAGTTTGCTCTTTTATTTTGGACATCTGCAGAATTCAAGATGCAACGGAAGACCGATCTCTCCTGGCATCTGGGAGTTGTAGTTGCTGGGATTTATAGTTCACCTACAATCACAGAACATTCTGAACCCCACCAATGATAGAATTGGGCCAAACCTCCCACACAGAACCCCCATGTGGGCCACAGCAACGCGCGGCAGGGGACGGCTAGTATCTATATAAATTAAAATGTCATGTTCGTTTGTAGGATTAACAGAACTCAAAAACCACAGGGGGAATTAACACCAAATTTGGACACAATACACATATCAGGCCAACAAGTGACCATCACTCATAAAAACACTGAAAAACACAGAGGAAGAGATGTAAAAAGCCAAAAAAAGACATTATAATGTATGCACAAAACCACACACACACACATATATGCAAACACTTATATATACATATATACACAAATATATATATGCACAAAACACATATACACAGACTGGGCCACAGCAACGCGTGGCAGGGGACGGCTAGTACATAATAATATATAAAATATATAATAATATAATTGCTATAGATCAGCCATCAGAGATTGATGATTTCACTGATTTTTTTTTTTGGGGTCGTGTCAGGAGTGACTTGAGAAACTGCAAGTCGCTTCTGGTGTGAGAGAATTGGCCGTCTGCAAGGATGTTGCCCAGGGGACGCCTGGATGATTTGATGTTTGCATCATCTTTGTGGGAGGCTTGTCTCATGTTCCCGCATGAGGAGCTGGAGCTGATAGAGGGAGCTCATCAGCCTCTCCCCGGATTCGAACTGATGATTTAGGGAGGATTGTGGGCGTTCCCGTGACACAAAGTGGGAAATTCAAGTATGGGAAAGGGTGGTGTTCTCTATGAGAAAACCGTCTCAGAAAGTGCAGACCTTCAATGCGAGTCAGAAGAGGCAGAAGTAGCGACAGCAGATAAGGAATTGAGTGAAGAGCTGAGTGATAAGGAGGGATTCCCAGGAGAAACCACCTGCAGCTATAGAGATCAACAAAGCTCTTTGTTTATAAATCAGATCTGAAAATAGATCATGTCGGTCTGAGAAATTACATGGGAAAGTTGTGGAGAAAATTCACGGGAGACATAATGCTTTCATGGGTGTCTATTAAACAAGTTGTTTACTTTAGGAGCCGTTCAGGGAATGCTGCTTTAAGAGTGAGAAGCGAAGCCTGAGCTCTCTGGTTCCTGATTCAAGCCAAGCCTTGGTTTTGGATTTTAATATCCTGGAAATTTTCTATGTACTCTGGTTCAAGTTTCTACTAGTTATACCAGACAAGCATCCCGAGCTCTGAGGATGG